TAGGAAAACCAAATCTATCCACCACCCAGTCCACTATTCCAAAATCATAAAACCATTCTACTGTAATTCAGAGCTGTGTTTTTTACAAATTTAACATTTGTAGCAACTCTGAATTAAGCATGTCTATAAGCACCATTTCCCTACAGCACGTGCTCACTGTGTGTCCATCACATGTTGGTCATTTTCATTATGCTTCAAACTTTTCCATAATGCTACTGCAACTTAACCGACACGCTTAGGGCACAGAACACCTCTTATATGCGCTAGGACACCAAAAGCCGCGTGTCATTCTTTCATTGCAACAGTTTCTTTATTACAATGGGCTGAAACCAAATTCACACAACCTCCAAGGTACGCCTGCATGGTTTAGATCTTTCTTCTACTTCTAGTACTGTACTCTGTTTAAAAAGACCGGAAACTCAGACAACGCGTCGACCACATTCTACAGAGAGCTCCAGGGGCGGGGGAGTTGGAATGGCATTCTTCTGGGAAGGTCTGAGTCCACGTTTGCTTATTCCTGAGTCTGTTTTCGCTCATCTCCTCCACATTCCAGTCGCGGGGACTGCAGAATTCAGAGCACAGAGACAGACACTGATGATATTTTCCTTGAAGCAAAGTCATTGAGAGTTCATTGTAAGTCACATTAAAAGATAAAAAGACGGAGGGCCTTCATACATATAGGTACTGAGATGCTTGGTGTGAAAAGTGAGATGCTTCTCTTCCTTCCCTTCTAATTTCCCACTTTTGAAGTCCAGTACAAGGGGGCTTCAAAGAGTTGGTGGAAATTCAATCTTTACACTAATTTTGTGAAAAGCCACATTTCATTACAACTTAATGATCTGGGAACAGAAGAGGAAATACTTAACTGGTGTGTTAAAACACAAATAACATAATAACAAACACAGCTAAACCAAGAATCGCCAAGGGAGCTCTGGTGATAACACAGTAGCTAATATACACCCTCGCACAGGGCTCTATAACCAAATAGCGTAAAAACAACTCTAAATTAATGATCCCTACTTCTAACCACCTACATTGCTCTATTAGAGAAATGCACCACTTCATTTCACAGAGCAGAGTTTAAGGCAGAGAAATGTTAACCATCAATCAAAACAATTCCCTCCGTGAAAAAGGTCTTCTGTACAAAGGGAGGCAGAGAAACAAACTCAAGTGATTGCCGTTGATCAACACAGAGTAGAACTGCCCCTGGGGCTTTCTGATACTGTAAATTGTGGCAAGAGTGGAAAGCCACATCTTTTCCCCAAGGTGTGGCTGGTGGTTTTAAACTGCTGACCTTGAAGTCAGCAACCCAACTTATAACCCACTATGTTACAGGGTACCTGCTGGGAAACTAGATTTCTGGTAATGGTACAACCAGAATGAAATGAATGAGAATGATAACACAGTGTGAAAACTGTAACCCAAGTCACGAGATAATGTGTGTAGAAAGAAAAAAACAGTGTTTCTGTAGAAACTTTTAAATGGGAACCTAATTTGCTCTAACTTTTCACCTTAAACACAATAAAAGAAAAATAAAATACTAAGAAAACTGATGCAAATATATTGCTGTAATCTAGCTGAAGGCACTTCAATTTGACCTAGATAACAATATATATTATTTTAACTCTATTAAAACACATTCCAATTAAACATTTAAATCGGGAATCAGATGCTAAAATTGAAGCATAATTTCTAGCATCACCCCGCCCACCACTGCTGTGCCACTTTTTCGTTCTTATTCTTAGTTTGCCCACCTTCCATGCCCCTCCACATTTTTAATGTTCTTCTTCCCTCCTCTCCTTCAGTCTTCCTGATCCCACACCAAAAAGAAAGTTAACCTCCCAGCACCCCACCCCACCCCCGGCCATCTCCCACATGGCAAGTACAGTCTCCACACAGCTGTGTTTGGGGCGAGTGCTCTCCTCAGGACTGCGTTTTTCTTTTCTCCTCTGTTCTTTCCCCCTGAGCCTCTTCTTTTATCCTTCCTCTTTATCCCACGCTTCTTTTCTCTATTCTTTTATCCCGCCCCCCCCCCACCCCCCCTGCCAAGCAGGCCTCATTTTGGCAGGCCCAGGCCCACCTCTCCATAAGCCAGGTGTGAGCACTCTCCTGCAGAGTTCCCGGCACTTGTGACAATTGACTGTTCTCTTTTTTTGTCTCTCTCTCTCCAGTTCTGCCCTCCTCCACGTCCCCCTGGTCTTTCTTTTAGTTAATTTTCTTCACCCACTGTTTATCTTTTTTATTGAGAACACAAAGTGGGTGCCCCGCCCCTGCATCACAGCACGGTCAGTAACATCTGTCCTGACACTCCATGTGTGGCAGCACACGTTCCTAGACTGAGCACTCTATTTCTGCTGCAACTCCTACAGCAACTAGCACTGCAAAATACTGTGATTTTTTTTTCACATTTCTTCCCTCATTTCCCCCCCACCCTCTACAAAACACCCATAGTTCCCTCCAGAAGATAGGCAGATTCAGCCCTACCCAACTATACCCCACTTACTTGGGCAAGTAGCATCACCCATTCCTGCACTACTGGACTGAATGATGGCAGCCAACAATCACCCAGCCTGCCTTCAGCTGCTCTGCACAACCAGCTATCAGCAACTCACACTGGCACCCCCAATGCCAGCAGACTGACCCAGACGCACTGGTTGCCAAACAGCTTCGTAGCACACTCACCATGCTACCCAGATATAAGAAGACAAAAAACAAGTTATGGTAGCAAATTAACACACAACTAACAAATTAATTAAAAACACATTTTCTCTGACACATCACAAAAATTCACTGCCACTGAGTGAATTTTCTCTCATAATGACCCTACAGGACAGAGGAGAACTGCCCCAGTGGGGTTCTGAAGCTTTACGTCCTCATGGGGGGAGAAGCCAACACCCAATGAGAACGTGCCAATGCACGTAACTCACACTGCGACAAATCTGAGCGAGAACTGACAACTCCACAGTAAGGGGCTTTACGGTGCCACTTCAATGACGAGCAGAATAATTAAAAACCGGAGGAAATTACACAACAAATAACCATCGACCAACTTGGCCTCAGAGATGCCACCCAACAACACAAAATATATTATTTTCTGGTGCACATGGAACATTCTCCAAAATAAATTATATGTTAGGTCACAAAGAAAGCCTCCCTTCATTTAAAACATTGAGACACTACAAATCATCTTCTCAGATCACAATTTCTGTCCATCCTTCTGGATTCTAGGCCTGCGATCTTATTTTGGAGGGAGTTCTGTTACAGGATTAAGTTGGGGTTCAGTCCTGACCTCAGCAGGTGTGAACCAAGCCACTCCCTTTGTTTCCTGCGGCATCTTTAAAACTCCCGTGGTAGAGGGTGGGACTTAGGGCATCATCCTGCATTTTCTTTGGGAGTCTGGTCAACTAAGACACGAGCCATGCCTTCAGCAAAGCCGTTCCTCAGCATATGAGCCCATCTGTGACCTGGAGAAAAGTCGCAGGACCATCGGGAAGAGCACGTCCAAGAGCTGTCTCACAGGGCACAGGCCCAGAGGCACCAGACTGTGGCACAGTGACTCGGAGAAGCAGCACCGAGACTGACTAGACGGTACCTTCTCATCTGGCCAAGACCATGGGACAGAGATGGAGTGACTAGCGGCTAGCTTCCTGCTCCTGCAGGCAAAGGCCATGGGCCGAGAGACCAAAGACTGGAGAGGCACGTGGCTGCTGGCTAAGGAACAGTGCTGCTGTGACGAGTGTACCCTTACTGCCTGCTGACCCTGACCTGTGGTAGCCCATTCACTTCCCTCGCAACCCCCTTAGTTGTGAGTATTTGGTGAGGTCTGTGGGGCCACGGCAAGGAATCACTGAACCCGCGTAGATACAGCGTGTCATGGCAGGAACCACTTGGTGTCAGAAGAGGTGGAGAAGGGTAGAGAGTGGAAGCATGTCTGAATCCTGCCTCACGGCAACAGGGAAGTCAGAAAAGGTCAGATATGTTCACCTCCAATGCTCACTGTCGTTATAAATGTAGAAATTAACAAGGAGAAATCATCAAGTACCTAAAAATTGACCTTGGTTAAAATCTGCTAGACATTAAAAGAAATTTTTTAAATGAAATTAATTCCCTTAATCAAAGGAGAACAAAAATACACTACGCTGAATGTCTGGAATACCATTACTAAAAAAGAACGAAGTACATTTATACTTCCCTATGTCAAAGTCTACTACACAATCACAGTGTCAAAACCGCCTGGTGCTGTTACCACAACAGGCACAGAGACCAATGGAACAGAACTGAGAACCCAAGAGTAAATCCATCTACTCGTGGACAGGCGATCTTTGGCATGGGGCTGAAATCCATTAAATAGAAAATAAACAGTCTAACTGGGCAGACTAATTGGCAAAACTAGGTAGACATCTGCAGAAAAAAGGCAGAGGATCCATACATGTCACCCTACAAAAAAAACAAATCGAAATGGATGGGGAAGAGGGGAGACAACTCAAAACAGCCTAAGAATGTCTGTGAAACCCGAGGGAGCTTCACAACGTCTGTGGGAAATACAGTTGTAAGATAATGGAATTTTCCCCCAGAAAGTATGAAACCTCCCTGTGTATTATTCCACAAGGCGGTGACTACATAATGTCTCTCTCCCAGAATTGCTGCTTTTCTCTCTCCCTCCCCATAATACCACTCTGCTACGATTAATATGCTACTTCCAAAAAGATTTTGCAAATTCAGTTTCTGCCACAAATACAATGGGACTTCAATAAGTTTGTAGAAAAATGGAATTAAAAGATAATGGAATTTTTCTTCAAACTTCTGAAGCCCTTTACACAACATATCCAGATAAAATTTCATGAAGGAAAATATATGAGTAATAAATAAATATATGGTAATGCTAATCTATGAGCATTGAGTTTGGAGAGATAAGGGCTTTCACAGCTTATCACTCTATATGTCATCTGAAATCTTTCATTTCTGCTCTGATATCACACTTTCAAAAACCAATTACTCACTGCTACTTGTGCTGAATCCATAAATCTCAATCCAAAATAGTCGCTTTCAATGAGATCCAGGTGGTACATAATCTGATCAAATAGCTCTTGTCCTTTGGCTTTTTTCTGAAATGGCAAGAACATAAATTAATATTAGCTTACAAGATCAGTGAATCAGAACATAAGGTGTTATATAAGATATTTTAGAGAGAGCATTACTTGCCATCTCAAAGGTACTGCAAAGCAGATGATAGGAATGATACTGTAATTTCCAACATGTCACTTAAGGGCAACAGTAACTTGTGCCTATCAACTAACAAATTATAGTACCTATCATTATTTGTGTGAAGTGATATAAATTCTTTTCTTGTATCCTCAATTTTTAATGTCTTTAAAATAGCATATAGTAAAATAAGAAGCTTGTACCAAGGGCTCAAGTAGAAAGAAAAGGTTTTGAAAATGCTGAAGGCAACAAATATACAAGTGTGCTTGACACAATGTATGTATGTATGTACAGTGAACCCTCGTTTATCGCGGTTAATCGGTTCTAGACCCTACCGTGATAAATGAAATTCCGCGAAGTAGGATTCCTTATTTGTAAATCGAATATTTTCGTAGTTAGAGCATAGAGGACATGAAAAAACACCCTTTAGTCACCATTACACTCGTATTACCCAATTTATTTTTTAAAAAAGGGAAAATACAGTAAAACATTTTGGACGTTACAATTTTCATTTATTATTTATTATATTATTTATGGCATCAAGCGTGTACAGTATGAGCCAATCAGTGGCAGTAATGACAGAGCATGTGCTGTTACGCAAAAACCGCGATAGAGTGAAGCCGCGGAAGTCGAAGCGCAAAGTGGCGAGGGTTCACTGTATTATTGTGTTAAGAACTGTATGTTCTCAATAGTATGATATTTTTGAAGAGCATACAGTGCAATTGGAATGAGAACACACGCAGGAAACTAATGCCCAAATCATGTGGAACTAACGACACTTGCATATAAATTTTACAGCAGAAACAAAAATGGAAGATGAGAATACGGGACCATGAGCAAACTGCAAGATCAATGGAAAGAAACAAGTTTACACATGTCCTCAGCATCTCCTAGATGTCCTTCCCTCCCATTGAGTTCTTCCTCTGTGTGAGTCTTTGCAGGCTACACAAAGACCGCCTAGGCTCCTATGTCTGAGACGGTTTTGATCATGCCTTTGGATTAAAAGTCAAGGTTCATTAAAAAAAAAAATTAAGGTTCGTAAACAAGCGGCTATCTAGCTCATAAGCAACACAGCCCACATGGAAGAAGCACACCAGCCTGTGTGATCACAAAGTGTTGAAGGGATCAGGTATCAGACATCAAAGAACAAAAAATCTTATCACTGTGTGCTACCTTCCCCATATGAACGCTGAAGACAAATGTGTGCATAAGCAAGTGTGGTGAAGAAGGCTGATGGTGCCCGGCTATCAAGAGATATAGTGTGGGGTCTTAAAGGCTTGAAGGTAATCAAGCGGCCATCTAGCCCAGAAGCAAAAAGCCCACATGGAAGAAGTACACCTGCCTGTGTGATCACAAGGTGTCGATGAGATCAGGTATCAGGCATCAAAGAGCAAAAAACCATCACTGTGAATGAGGGGGAGTGCAGAGTGGGGACCCAAGGCTCATCTGTAGGCCACTGGACATCTCTTTACAGAGGGGTCACAGGGAGAAGACGAGCCAGTCAGGGTGCAGTGTTGTTATCGATGAAACACACAACTTTCCACTAGTTCCTAAATGCTTCCTACCACCCCTCACCCCCCCATTATCATGATCCCAATTATATCTTACAAGTCTGGCTAGACCAGAGGATGTACACTGGTACAGATAGGAACTGGAAACACAGGGAATCCAGGACAGATGAACCCTTCAGGACTAGTGGTGAGAGTGGTGATACCGGGAGGGTGGAGGGAAGGTGGGGTAGAAAGGGGGACCCAATTACAAGGATCTACATATAACCTCTTCCCTGGGGGATGGACAACAGAAAAGTGGGTGAAAGGAGACGTCAGGCAGTGTAAGATATATAAAATAACAACAATTTATAAATTATCAAGGGTTCATGAGGGAGGGGGGAACTGGGAGGGAGGGGGAAAATGAGATGATACCAAGGGCTCACGTAGAAAGCAAATGTTTTTAGAATGATGAGGGCAACAAATATAAAAATGTGCTTGACACAAGGGATATATATATGGATTGTGATCAGAGTTGCACGAGCCCCCAATAAGATGATTTGGGGGAAAAATTAGGTTCAAAGTTATTTTTCATTCCACAAAATAGTATTTCATAGTGCCGCTTCTGAAAAACATGATGTCATTCTGAATCTTGTCCCCTCTAGTTCTCTGATCCCTCTGGAAACCTTTAACCTTTCTCAGACATCCTACGTTTCACTGTAGGTGTAGGTGTGGCTTTGTCCGTAACTCCAGAGTGTATTACACGCTTTTTAAATCTAAGATTTATCTGTCTCTAATGAAACTGACCTTTACTAGTTCCTCACATATTTCCCATGCTTTAAAAATTCCCTACCTGGGCATTGTCATGTCTATTTTTTCTGTTTATCTGTTTATCTTTTCTGCCCTATCCATCCTTCTTACCTGGCGAGTTTCTCAATAAGACCTTCCATCTAATTCCTGTATCTTAATTCAGTCTATTTTGTTATCCCATCAACTGTGATCACTGTATTAGACTTACACCTCTTATTTCTGCTAAATTCTTTTCAAATTTTTTGAAGATTTTGTGTTTTAGTATTGCTAATATTTACCCTTAACATTCCGGAAATGTGTGTGTAATGTTTCCATTTGCCTTTGCTTCTAATGCGATGTGTAATGGTTCCCTATGTCTCATTACTCAACTTTCCAGGTATTTGTGTTCATCTGCCACTTTATTTCAGCCATATTCTTTCGGGACTATGAGCGGGTTTCTCTGCAGAATATATTGAGAAGACTATCAGACCGAGGTCTACATCAGCTTTGCTTAGCTCTGAGAAGATGAAGCCCAGAGGGTGGATAATGGGGGAGGGGGAATCCTAGGGAGGAAAGCCTAAAGCACCAGAAAGCCAAGTTAATCCCTTCTCATGCAACCAGCAACTGCTCAGATCAGATCTAAAGTCCTGGCTCTGGAAAGAAGCAGCACTTAGGGAGAAGGAAAAATGCCACTGAACGGAAGGCATTCCTTTGAGCAGGAATCCACTTGACAGCAACAACAAGGACAGTGAAGTTAGGCAAGGCAATTTTAAGGGAAGAATGTGAATTCCAGAACACTGGAATGAGGACAGACTATGTGGCAGTTGTTTACACGGAATAAAGAAATGCTGCTTGGTTTAAAAACAGGAAAGATGCACACCAGGATTGTGTATCTTTTTATTTATTCAATATGCATGCTGAACAAATAATCCGAGAAGCTGAACTATAAGAACACAGCATCAGGACTAGAACCCAATCAAACCCACTGCCACTGAGTCACTGCCAACTCCTGGCTGCTAGTGGTTTCCAAACTGCCTGCCTTGCTGTGCTGCTAGCAGCCCACGGTGGGAGGGGGCGGGACACCCTCTCTGGTCTGGAGAAGACAGATGCAGTAACACACTGGGACATACAAACTAAACAACCTTGTTTGCTAGACGTGAAAAGGACTTGAAGCATTTAACTGATAAAGATAGAAAACACAAGCCTTCGGTATGGATTATGCCTCAACAGAAAGAAAACAAAAATCCTCAAAACTGGACCAATCAAGAATAGCATTCTAAACAGAAAAGACTGAAGTGTCAAGATTTCATTTTCCTTAGATCCACAATCAATGCCCATAGAAGCAGCCGTCAAGAAGTCTAATAATATATTGCACTGGGCAAATCTGCAGCAAAAAATCTCTTTAAAATGGTAAAAAGCAAAGATGTAGCCTTGAAGACAAGCCATGATATTTTCAGTCACCTCATATGCATGTAAAAGCTGAATTATGAATAAAGAAAAATAAAAAAGAATTGATGCCTTTAAATTATATTGGCAAAATATACTGAATTATACCATTAAATGCTAAAAGAAAAAGCAAATCTGTCTCTTTAGAAACTAAGAGCAACGTGGACCAAGGAAAGAGTGGTCGGTCATGTGGAAGAAATTTCCAAAAGACCATGAAAACAAGTAAAATATTTTAATAGATGTATTCTGTCTAACTATTGAAAAGAGAAATTGTTCCTGGCAATGAAGAGAAAATCTTGATTTTTCAATTATACTTACCATAACTAAATCCCTAATAATAAACTTCATAAAAAATAGCATTATGCTGAAATTGACAATTGGCCATCATGAAAGGAACACAAGTATTTCTGTAGTAAAGCAGACGCCAGTCTCCTGCTGTACACACCTGTCTAGTACACACTGCAATGTGTCCTGTTAGCTCCTTTCAACACCTTTCTAGAACTAATGTCATAGTCCATCAATTTCTGTCTTTGCTTCAAAGGCCAACGAGAAGGATGTCTGGAGACTCGAGACTGGTCTCCTACCAGCTGGCTCTTCAGAGCGAAAAGCTTTTCAAGGTTTTATGTACTGACCCTTAATAGAGGTCAATTTGAGGGCATCCAACAGTGAGCAAAGGCACTTGCAGGTTCACGAGATTCACAATGCTCAGGCTAATGAAAATCTGACGTCCCCAAGAGGATCTCTTAAAACGTCTTAATCTGCTTGTAAAGATAGCAGGAATATTTTAACTTGCATCTGGACCCTAGTCAGGAAGGACTAAGCTATTTCATAACACGACATCACAGGCAAGTGACATGACCTACAGTATCCTGGGTACAGATTCTGACGCAAGCCAAATGTATTATTACTGACAGGCTGGAAAAGCATTGCCTTGATGGACTGATACAGATACAGACATATACACATATAAATCTGTTACTATCAACTTTGGGAATGATGTTGACAATCATTTGGCTTTGTCCCATTCCACAGAAACCTAATGCAGGCAAGTTAATGAATAATGACCCATTTTGATGAATGAATTATACAATAGAACTGCTCCAAAGGACTTTTTTTTGGGGGGGGGGGTTACAGTGTACTTTATTGATGGTACATGACAAGGTCGGGTTCTCCAAGCCCCT